CCTCAAAGCGTTGTAAGTTCAAGGCATAATTAAAAGTGATGAATTTCCTCCTAAGAACTGTAAAATAAAATTGTATGGGCACAGAAACTAACAAAATCTAATTTCCTGTGATTCACTTGCTAGCTGTCACTCTCATGCGTGCTCTTTGTATAGGTTCTCTAATCTCTAACAACATGACTGGTAATGTTAAATTCCAGGCACAGGTCTCTCAGGTAGTATAAAGCAGCACTCATCACAGGCAAGCTCTTCATGCATTGTATTTTCACTGAGCCTTCTGAGAAGCAGCCAAAAAAATGGTTCTTTGGCAACCACTGATTTTCTACAGTGTGTGTTAAACCTAGAGCAAATCAAAGTAGATTGCTACCAGGAGAAAGGCAGCCTGGCAGAGATGCTGTAAAAGAAGCAATGGAAGTATTAATTCAATGGGTTCTAGACTCTGAGCACTGTGACTACAGGAGTTTTTTATTCCTGTGCAGTGTTGATTCTTGCTTCCTGGACATGACCAAAGGAATTAGAAAACTTGTGGGGTTTCTTAAATAAAAAGAAACACAGTGGTTTTGACAGCTGCGGAACTAATGATGTCTATCGATCCCTTGAGAGTAGGGCCCTATGTGCATGACATCCAGTAAGGGGTGAGCTGACTTGCATTGTCCTCCTCAGCGGGGTAATGATAGCTTGTATTTTATCTAGTATAAAAATATATAAAAGCCAGGGACTGTTATCCAATCTTGAGACTTGATAATGGCAGAGATGACACCTAAACTCTACGATCTCCCAAACCAGGCTTTTTCCCAAACTGGGCATTTCTCCTACCCGTGCCCCAATATTGTGTGGGACAGCACTTCCTGGCCTATGGGAAACACATGCCGCAGACCGTGCTTAGACTTGAACAGTGCAGAGTGTTACTATGTACCAAAGTTCAGACACATAGCCTGTGTCTCTCAATTATTTAGAGCAAATGTAACTACAAGGCCATTTTCTTCTATTCAGGCATGGTAGCTTATAGAAATTCTAGGGTTGTTCTAGGAGAAAATTCAAGGTGGTTTTGTTTGGGAGAGACAGAATATTTTATTATACAAAATAACATAGCTGGAAGAAGCAGCGACAATTTGGGCACTCATCCATCTATCAGATATGAAACGGAAGCAGCAAACTTAGATCAAGCGAAAGTTGGGGGAAAAAAAATTGCATTATATTTAATTGTGATGACTCCTTAAAAAGTGACATTTCTAACAAAGCCTCAGTAATACCAAACCTCATCACTAGTTTTCAGTGTATTTTGTTTCCTCTTTACTAAATTTTTTAACAGACAGATTCACAACAGCTTGTGCATTGGGACATGTTTGGCAGTATGCGTCTGACAGGATTTTTTTCTGCCTCCTAGAACAGTTCTGCTAAATATTCATGCATTTCCCATTGAAAGAAACCTGATTCTTGGCCAAATCAAAGCTTGTTAGCAGATGGAACAAGAGGGCTCCTTCATCCCTGCTGCACCTTTGATTCCCTCAGGTTTTGCCTCACACCTGATCTCTGAAAACAGATGCTCTCAAGCCCAAATTATTCTACTCTGGAAATGGGTTATAACCTAAGATATTGCCAAGTCATTGCATTTTTTTTGAAATATTGAGTTTTACATTTTATGTGGAATTAATAGTTTGTGGGAGTTTCTAACAGCGTTCAGCCCCATCTGTTTATCAGAGGTGGCTGAAAAATACCTGCGTTTTTAAAAAAGTTCAAAACAAAACATGAATTATTCTTTTAACATGTTTTTTCTTTGAACAGAGATCTCACCATTATGTCTGCTATTATTGAAAACCCAGTAAATTGAAAACCCGGAATTTGATTTGTCTAAGATCGCTTCTATTAAGAACTATTTTGTAGTCTCCTTTTCTGCTGAAACCTTTTTTTACACAGCTGTAAACAAGGTGAGGAGAGTGACACAAGGTCACAGGAAGGGCTGTGATTTTTTGGGTACTCAGGACCAGCTGCTGATGAGCTATTTGTGCTCGGGGTCAGGGCAGACCTATGGGACACAGAGATGGAAATGAGCTTCCATAAGGGTGAGAGCTGTCATTAGGAAGCCGACTGTCAGCACCTGCTTCAGAAAGGTCAGTATAGGGGAATTTGTGTTGGAAGGGGCCTCGAAGGTCTCTAGTCCAACCATCTGCTTAAAGCAGGGGCAGCTCTGAGGTCAGACCAGGCATCTCAGAACCTTATCTAATCCAGTCTTGACACCCTCCCTGGAGGGAAGCTGCAGTGTCTCTCCTGGCAACCTGCTTCACTGCCTGACTGTCCTCATGGGGAAGAAGTCGCTATATATACACCCAGGTTGAACCTCTCTCCTTTCAATTTAAGCCTTTCATCATCTGCCAAGCAGCACTGTGAAGAGCCTGGTTCTATCTTCTTGATCACCTCTCTCTAGGTGTTGAGGATGACCTTAGTCGTCCTCCCATCAAAGCTATCCCCCTTCCAGCCTAACCAGCCCAGCTCTCTTAGCCCTCTGCTCCAGTCTAAACCATCACCGTGGCCCTGCGCTGAACTTGCCTCAGTTTATCAACTACTTCCTTGTACTGAGCACCGTATCCAGACACAGGGTAACAAGCGGAGTGCTGAGAAGCTGTCTCCTGATTAATTGACCTGTGATGAGCCTGTCATGGTCTGAGAGATGTACGAGATGTCACTTCACCTCCTGCTCACTCTGTCCCTCTGCCAGTGGCTGCTTTCCATAACCCTCAGAGATAAAAAATAGGAACTTCAACTGTGCCATGACAAGAGGACTTGAAAAACAACAGGAACGAGGAGCCATAGAAGCCCACGTACATGTTCTCTCCTGCTTCCCCGACTATGGAGGGCAGTAACTTCCAGTGGACAGGAGGGCTGGAAAATAAGAGCTTCCATGTAAAGAACTTTAGCCATAAACTACAAAGTGCTTCCCAAAAGGACGTTGGTTGTATTGCTATTCCTGTTTTACAAATCAGCAAGCTGAGGAAAAAGGGGAAGGAAGAGTTTTTGAATGAATTCATCTAGCAGCTGCTGGTTTTGACTGAATTCATTTAGCAGCTGCTGGCAGAGGCAGGCAGAGACCCCGGGTGCTGCCCATGGACTGTGCTGCCCCAGCGCAGGGACCCGTCCTTGCCTTCTCCAGACATACACTCGCCAGGTGCTCTGCTACGCCATGGTTCACAGCTATGTGGACTATATGTACAATCCTGCTACTCACATTCCCACCTGAGGCCAATCTGCTTGGGCCAGAATACTGCTCATAGTTATCAAAGGCAGATAAGCGGTATGCTACAATTGACATTGTTAATGTGCTTTTTCCTAGGCCATTCTATGATTCTATGATTCTATTCCTATAGCAGCGGTGTGCAGGCTGCAGTTTGCTTTCTGTGGAGGGGGCACTCAGATTTGAACCTGCTTGGACATCAGGGTGGGGACACAATAACAGCAGTCTTCAAACCGTGCACATTTACGGCATCAAAGCAGAAGTGCTCATCTGAAATACCATGAATTAGTCATAATCTTATCAAAAATATTTTATTTATGAAAGTATCAATTATACTATACAACCTATATTGGAAGTACATTGAATAATTGCTAGAATAAATACAGGCAATTAAGTCAATTTTTTTATAAAATGAGAGGATTTATTTGACACTTGAATGTTAACCCAAGCTTTAACTTACATCATAAATAGTTAAAAGGCATAATCAAGTTTTTTTATTTTTACTGTTTCTTTTGCTTTTTTTAATACTGTTCTATTCTGTAATCAACATGAATCAATTCTCCAATCATTAACATATTAGTATGACTTTCAAGCAATCATGTACCTCAAGATAATCAGACAAATAAGGTAGTGTGTGTGCAGTTCATTCTACAGCAGAATCTATTCATGTCTGCATAAAAAAGAGAAGCTGAAAATGCTTCTAAGTTCTTTAAGCATCATATGCTGATTCCTGCTTTACCACAGTGCTTTAATACCAGAATCTAAAAAGGGCATGTATCTGTATGCAGCTGGCTTTCTGTTGTTCTTTATAAAGTATACTAGGGCTCAATGCCACATTCCTTTGGCTGGTGAAGGACTGCAGAATTTAGTTCTGAATATTACTTCTCAAAATCATGGTCCAAAATAAATGTCCAAGACTGATTATTAGGCACCGAAGAAGTGATGCATTTGCTAAGGTTTGATGTTTTCTGATAAAAAATTGGCTCGTTTTCTGGTAGATGTGCTCTAGTTGAATACAAATTATTAGGCTCAGTACTGGGGTCTGTATTATACTGGGTATCAGAGAAGCTGATATTTGTATTTTCTGCAAACTCTATAAAGGGTATTGCAAAAGTTTTATAGCAAGACATTCACATTTTGAACATGTTGATAATTTTTCCTTCCATGTTCTGTTTTTTTAATTCGATTTTATTTTTTAAAACTTAAAAATCTGAACTATCTACTTGGTACCAGCAGATGATGAACAACTATGACACTCAGTTAAGTCAATAATAGTTTTAGGTGTCCAATATTTCTCCAGACCAGAAGTTTTTGACTCCTCATATCCCATGCGTAATCAGTGGGAGCTTTCCTATAGCAATGTCTTCTCCAATGCCATGGAGACCTTCCTTGTCCTATGGCTGTTGTGCATACCAGGGATATTACGCTCTCAGCAGAGAAGCAAATTTCCCTTTTACGATATTATCCAAAACAAAACCCCAAATTGCACATATCTACCCCTTTGGCCTTTTTTATGCACAAATATGCTTGTATTCAAAAACTGACAGCATTGGGTCTTTTCTAATAAGTGTCTTTATAGAGCATCTTTAAATGATTTTTCACAGAAATAACCATTTATCAGTTGCAAAAATACAGAGTGACTTTTTATTTTTTCTGTTGTGAACAATATCAATTCAGCACAAATTTTGGAGGAGAAAGTATGATTTTTTTTTTCCCAGATGTATTTAAAAAGGCTAAAGAACAAAATGTTGGGGAGGCAGCTTTATTTTTTGGCAGATAGTAAAATATAAAATATGTGATTTAAAAAAAAGAGTTGGCTTAAAAATACACACACACACAAATAATACAATAATATAAAAATACAGCTCAGCCAATGGCCTCTTAAAATTTACCTTTGGCATTACAGTTGGCAGCCTAACATAAAAGACCCTTCCTATAAACAGAACTATAAAAAAAGAGAAGTTCATAAATTAGGTTGCAAGGGGTTGTAAGATCCTTTTCTTGATTCTCCAAACTCCTTTCCTTCCTGTCCACACACATAAGCATGACCAGTGAGGTATATAGAACGTAACACTGTCAGGCATATGCACAGTAAAAAAGTGCATAAACATAGAAGTTCTCTGATTTTCTCGCGAACAGGTCGAAACTGTGTGGTTTGTGTCTTCTCCCCTTGGAAAAAAAAAATCATTTTTTACTGTTTATTTTTTTCTTACTTTGGCAGGATGAAAATGAACCCGGAGGAATACAAATGTCCTATTCCCAGCAGCAATGATCCATTTCCCTTGGCAACATTCGTCTGATGCCACAGATACTACAAGGTCGATGGGTTCCTTTACAGCTCTCTGGGTAACTTCCCATGGAAACATCATACATCTAGCACCATGTCATAGTGTTGCTCTTTCTTCCGCCTGCCACATTTGGTGATAAGAACCAAGTACAAAGTCAAAAGCATAATCCAGTAACATGCATAGAGTATTGTGCCAATGATGAGAACTGTCTGTTTTGACTCAGAAAATGGCTTTTTTGATTCCTTGTAGATAGTGAAAATCACACCACCTAGGAGGATTGTAAACCAAATGGAGACTGGTATGAGTCCTATAAAATTAACTACAATGGTTTTTCTTCCTGACGTGCCCCACCCTGCTTTGTTTATCGTGGCGATTGCAAACATCTTTGCTGGCAGTAAACTTGACATGTACAACACTGAGTAGAGGGACATAAAAACCATGACAATGTTGCCCCTAAGGAAGCTGGCAAAGGAAGACTTTATCAGGCCCACTAACTGAACTGTCAACAAGAAGAGGAGGATGTTCCAGATTTTTCCCCTGTAGAAGAGCTGAATGACTGTGGCTATAAGGAAGAAAGGAAAGAATCCAGTGATTACAGCTTCATAGGTCATCCACAAATGGTGCTTGTGGAACCACATTGCATTATAAAGCCACTCTCTAAAGTACGATTTACTCCAGCGGGTCTGCTGATTCAGCCACCTGAGATACTCTATCGGTGTTTCGGTAAGGCACTTGGATCTAGCTGTGTATTTTGTTGCATAGCCCAGACTTAGCACTCTGTTAGTTAGATGCCTGTCATCTCCAAAGCTGCACTGGGAGCCCATAAACTCTTGATTGTACCAATCTTCCACAAATTCATGGAGTAAAGAGTTTCTGTACATTCCCAGAGGTCCACTGATGCACTGTACACAGCCAAAGTAGGACTGACACGCTCTTTCTATGTTAAACGCCATCCAGTACCTCACGCTGCTCAGAAAGGAGATCCAGGAATCATATTTGTTCAAAATCTGCAAAATAAAAAGAGTTTTCATTTTAGATGAGCTCTTGAGACAGAAAATACATGGATTGGATCAATCACTAAAGAATTTGCAGAGGTTAGAGCAATGTTAGCTGAAATATAAGGGGAATTTCATTCTTGTTTCCAAGTCTTGGCAAATCCAGGAGTTACCTATACAGACCAGGTCATTGACAGGAAGGGTGAGGTGAAGCCTTCAAAACACTCTTCTACCAAAATGTTCTCTTATTCCTCACAACCTTTACTATTCACCAAGAAGCTTTTTCTCCTGCTTATTCTTCCTCTCCTCTCAGCTCCATTTAAAGACCTGCTGGATTCAGCCTCTCCCAAGAGGAGATGGTGGAGTAGTCCCAGACATGGCCTCCTGCTTCTCTGCCCCCACACATATCTTTGGAACTCACAGGACTTCTTATAGCCTTCTTAAAGCTATGCTGGAACATAAGAAAGGTTGAGCACATGGTCCTTGGCCTCTATTTTTGGTTCCATAAGGCTAGACTGAGAGGTTTGACCCTGAACTATGACCCCATCTTGATGTCAGAGTCTCTGAGGAACAACATATTGTGATTTGTCTCTGCTGTACCAGCCCTATTATGTTGCCCCAAGACATACTGTGATATTCCAGTAGGGTCTTGCTTTGGCTACTTAAAAAGTTTCAGTCTTTTTCTTCTATATGCCCCAAGGCTCACTCAAAGCTCAAGCCTATACTTAAAATACAACATAAGCATGGTCTAAGAGGAGGTATAAGCACACGCAGGTGCTCAAGTCCATGTCTTCACATCCAGGTTCTCAGCACACACTTGTGCTGAGGAATGTGGCAAGGAAGTGTGTAGCAGGGTGAGGATATTCAAGGGAACCTGTGACCTTCTACAACTAGAAAGTATTTCCTTGCAATTACAAAAAAAATAGTCTTTTGCTCTGGTGGCCCTAACTTCTGTCAGGTTTAAAGGCCAAGGGCCAATCTTCTTTCTGTTTCAATTTAATTCCAGAACTTTTTAAAACCAGTAGAGCTCAGAGATAGGCTCAAGCCTGGCTCAGATATATTTGGTGTACACTGCAAAGCAAATGAGGAAAAAAAAGCAAAAAAAGCCCAGAGCCTTCATTCTAACTTCTTCCCTCCCAAAGGACACATGTCCTTCCTGCCCTTCCCACCTCTTTGCAGGTGCTGATGAACCTTCACTGGCATAGCTGAACCCATACCATCTAACTCCAGTTGTACTCACACGTGCCTGGCATCTCACATATGGAGGGCGAGTGGGACATTTGGTTCATGGTCAGCCCGGAGACAGAAGCAAAAATATTCAGGCTTCTGTGGGAATCTTAATTTCTGGAACTAAGAGCTGCATGCCTGAAACACTTCTGACTACTGGGGCATTCATGAGCGAGTGCTTGCATATATAGATGGCCCTTTCTCTTCCATCTCGCATAAAAGTCCAGCTGATCCTAAGACAAATTGAAATATTCATATACATGTTCCTTTATAAACTGCAGCAGCAGCAATTGTGTCAAAAGGAATGAACAGCCTTTTGCTGTGGTCGTCAGCCAAACTCAGCAGTGCTGGAAATCCCAACAGGAGTGGAGCTGGGCTGATCTGGGGGCTTTCCACTGTCCTGCCAGACAGAGATGCGGAGGAAACCCAACAACACACGGAATTGCATTTGAAAAAGGCTTTTATTCCTAACAGTCTTGGTCGCCAGTAGAAACATGATGGAAGAGCTTGAGGTGCTGGACTTGGCTTTGGGAGACCTGTTCTCAGTTCCCTGCTGCCCTGTAACTTTTCTTTGGTACCCTGATAAAGCAGTTACACTCAGAGTCTCAAAGATGCTTCAGCAGTCTTAACAATGTCAGTGCCCCAGTTTTCACATATATGGGGTGGAATGATATTTATTTGGCTTCTATAGGCGTTGAAACTATACAGTGCTCACATCCCAGAATAAGAGTTTCTGTTCAACAGATGGAAAGGTTCGGGTACCACAAGAGCCTCTATAATGGTATCACAGTATATTCAATCCTATTCCAGGCAGGGAAATCTGTTGCAGCGCAAACAGCTGCTGAAACCTCTATTAATCTGAAAATTGTCATACTCACCTGCACATCACCTCCAACTCCTCCAACCATTGGATCTTCTTCTAAAACCTTTACCATCTCCACTGATGAAGCTGGGTCAAGCATCGTGTCTGAATCACAGACCTATAAGTAAGACAAAACAAGAACAAAAAGGGGTTAAGAAGTACATTAGAAAAGAAAATAAAAATTGTGTGATTGTAGTGACTCTAAATGCACGTTCTCCTAAATGCAATTAAACATCACTTTGAGTCTGCACTGATATTTCTGTTAAAGAACATTTGTATCAGCAGCAAGGGGTGGCGCTGAATGAAACAGAGTGCTTGTTAGGGCTGTGCATGCAAACAATCCTCTCTAATGTATCAGCTCTGTTTGTTTTACTGGCACACTGGGCTGGCTTCTTCGAATAAGATATGCCCCCAGAGATGGGGCACTGCAGAGCAAGACAATGTTTGTGGGTTGCTGAGCCCTGACAGAGGGTTTCCCTGCATCAGCTGCATGGTTGGACAACCCTGGACAAATGTTTTCCACTGCCATATGAGGGAAGGAGCGCAGAGTTAAATTCCAGACACTTGTTATAAAAAAGAAAACGTCAACTAGGAGTCTGGGAAGAAACTTAATAGTTCTTTCACTCACAGAAGACTTTAGCAATTCAACTAAGATATGTATTTTGGATTCCAGAACAAACTCATTTTCAATTTTAGATGCATGGTGTACTATTAGTAGTGCAGGGATTTGACATTTGATATATAGAAATTATTTGCTATTTTCCACTGGCATTCTCATAAAGAATACATAAAGGCCAGAAGGAGTGAAGTTCAGTACTCCATGAGAGCACGGCAGAAATAGATGACACACACAAGGCGTTTCAGCCACACAGATACTCCTAGTCAACTAAGCACTGTGTACATTAGGAATTGGCTTTCCCCTGGAGAGTAGGAGGAGGGCTCAGACAGTCTGGCCAGTCTGCAAGGCAGCTGGCACTGCTTTCATTTACTCGGAGGTGAATGACATGGGCTGCAGCCTGTTCAAAACAAGTGGGTATCTCCTTGTTGCAGCTGCTGTGGCTGAAGGCGGTGCCCTCACCGTGTGTAAACTCATTTCACAGAGACCCAGAAACTGGAGCAGAGGAGGCTGTCCCAGAAACACCCCTCTGGCCAGCTGAATCCTGCCCTACAAATTCTCATACTGCTTCGAGTTTACACCCATGTTGCATTCCTGTGATTTCAGATGGGGATGGAGGGCAAAATTCAGTAGTTCTGCATGAACAATGTACTGAGTCAGATTCTGGTGACACTTCAGATCAGGTATCCTAATTTTGGTGTTCTTTTGTCCAACCTTTTAATTCGGCCTAAGCCCTCTTGCTCCAGGGGAGCAGAACCCTTCATATCTGCTCTATGAAGGGGCAGGAGAGCATTTTGGGTCTCAGCTATGGACCAGACTTGAGTGGGGATGTTACTCGGGATAGTCAGGCTGCATATCTTGGGACATAGCTGAGTGTCTGCCAACATGCCTCCCCTCCATGGTCACTTGGAGGGGGCCAAGAGGACAAAGGTGATGAAAGCTCTTGTATTTCCATCAGCAGAAAACAACATGCATCTCCAGCTTCTGCTAACTTGATGCATCCAGCTCCTCTCCCCAAAGAACTCATCTCGAGGAGCACCTGGCCAAGGTGTGCCTCCAGCTTTGGTGGAAAGCTGTCATCAGTGACAGCACTTGGTGATAAAAAGTGAGCAGAACAGTTCTGATGAAGAGGGAAAAGGATGCCTGTATTTTTATCTGGGCCTTCCTGGACAGGCCTGTGGCTTAGTGTTTTGCAGAGGGAATCTGTAGTTCACTGAGTACCCAGGGCTCAGCCAGTGATACTCATCCCACTCCTTGTGGCCATGAGGGGTGGGCTGGGATCAGATCCCTCCCCAATTCCCCTGCTTTCCCTCTAGCACCCGTCACTTGATGCAGCTGAGCAGCCTCCGCCCCAGCAGATGCATTTATCTACAGCAGAAGGACTTTCCCATGAGCAACATCACTATCGTAAGATGAAGAATCCTGAAAACATTGGATTTATTTACAAATTACCAGCATGTGTCCTGGGCATGCCAGCACAGTGGACATGTCTGGACTTCTGGGACAAACCTGACAAGCCATCTTTTTCCATCTGGATGAGGTTTTTCAGGCGAAAAGAGGACACGCCCAGAGAAAGACAGACACTTAGGAACCCAAATAAAACACACTGAGGTCTGCCCAGCCAGGAACGGCCTAGCACAGCCTAAGAGGCAATTTGCCATCTTTCCATGTAAAGGCTGAGTGACCTAGAAATTACTGACTTGGGTCACAGAGTTGCATGAAAGGGACACTTTAACTTAAGTGAGCTGTTCAGATACACCTTATAACTAGTGGCAGTTTATCCACACTGCTATGAGAAGTTCAGGCTGCACTGGAATATCCAAACAGGTGCCTCTATCAAGCCAAGATGAGTTGCATCCTAGCTGCCCCAGCCAGCTCAGCATGGACAACATCTGCCAGTTTAACAGCTCTACCTGATTGTTTGCACCCTCCTAACCTCCTCCAGGACTGAAATAAGCCTTCAGAGCAGTTTCAGGTATTTAATGAGATGCCACTAATGAACAGCAGCTCATTAGCTGCATTAGTCTGACTGTTTATGATTGTCTGTCCATAACCATAAGATGTCTTTTAAGAACTATAAAGCCCACAGTTTCAGGGGGGAGCAATGGTGTTGACTGGTCCACGTTTTAAAGTGTTCAATCATTGATGCAGATTGCTCAGCCCCTACAATGTCTGACCTGTTTGAAATAATTTACCCTGGGTACCCCCAAAGAACAATCTGCAATATCTCAACATTCGTTCATTCACAAAACAGAGTCTGATCTCAGCTGCATTGCATCATGACTGTGTAGTAGACAGGGCCACCAAGGTGATGCATTTCTAATATAGATGTGATGGTAGATGTGACTGTGGCATCAATCATTACTGCAACCTTTGGGGTCCGCTTACAGTAGCGTTACAGTCCCTGATAGATTCATTAGAACGTCTGAGCCAGGTCAGGAGTGTTAATTGACTGCAAGACCAGAAATATGACTTCCATTTTCTCAGTTTATACTATGACTGTTGAAATAGAAACACTTTTTCCAGTTATCCTGAACAAAAGCAGGAGCTGGACTGAGGGGAGGAAACTTGCAGAGAATCTGTTTCCTCTCTGACTTCTCTCGCTGCAATCTGATACTTTTGTGTGAAGTGATTATAAAACCATGCTAATAAAGAAAACCAGCATTTTTATCCCATCATAGTCCCTCACAGCACAGAACCAAAGTGCAGACAATGGAGAGCTTAAGCCTATTGTTTTCAGGGAATAAATCAGTTTCAGTTTTAGAAGTGGTAGAGGATGAGTTTTAAACCTTTGCCTTACTCTCCCAGCTCCAGTAACAGAGTTGTTCCCAGCACTCTTCAGTTTCTGCTCCTCCTGTGCATGGAGGACTCACTGCTCTCAGTCCAGCTACTGGCAGCCTCTCGATGTCACTTGGACACTGTGACCATGGATGCTGTGCTATGGGGAGCAGACACCCCCCGGCTCCACACAAGGCCAGGCATAGACCCCAGAAACACATGTGGCTCAGCCACAAAGCTGCCCTGAGCCAGCAGGAAAGCATCTCACGGGGAGCTGCTGCTCCACTGAAGGAGACTGCTGGGTACTCTGAGGTTGGGACAAAGTGGGAAAGGCTGAGGGTGGTTAATTAGGAAGAACATCTAATACTTAGTGGGATTAATTAAACGAACCTTGCTGGCTTTGATTGATAAGAAAGGATGCTCAATATCCAGCCAGAGACCCTGAGCACACTTGCCTTCCTTCACACACGACCCCTTCCCCTCCCCGCAGTAAGCAGGACTGCTTGCAGGAGTGAGAAGTGCTTCCATGTGTAAGGCAAAAACATAGAAAATCTTTCACGGGATCCAAGGCAGCTGGAAAGAAATGTGTCTCTGCTACTTTGGAAACAGAGAGAGAGGACCCAGCCTAATTCATTTTTAAGTGAATAGTGTCATAAGGGCTTTAAAGGCCAAGTCGTGGTGAGTGAGGTAATGCAGCTGTAAGTGATGAAGCAAAAGCTCCTTTAGGCTTCAGCTGAAGAAATCTTTCTTTCAAGACTGCACATTGACCCTTTTATTGAATACTCTGCATGGCCTTGAAAGCCTTTGAAATATCCTCATCTTTTTTACAGATCCCACCACTGCTCTGAGATATTCCCTAGTGCCACAAATACCTGTCTGTCTGCTTGCATATTGGGCTACTAAAACCCTCACAAAATAAAACCTGACACAAGATCTACAGGTACAAAGATGTGGTCTTCAGGAGACCACTGGCTTTGTCTGAAGCAAAACCATTTGGATGAGGGGGCAGTACTGAAGTCTGGGTAGTGATTTCAGATTTCTCCAGTAGCTGATGCACAGATTTAACATATTCACAGATAGATTGACCATTTTTAAAGGTAGCAAAATATGCTTTTAACGGTCAAGCTGTTTCCAAACAGACTGAAAGGAGCACTGTGTTCATCAGAAACTAGGATGGCCTCTACCATGCTGCACAAAATATACAAAAGCTGCTTTCTTTCAAAGTGTGTTTGAATTGGCACTGACCTGACGCTCTAATACCTACCTGTACATAATCCACGCTTCTCCCCAGTGCTTTGAATGCTGTGTACATTACTTCTCTTTTTCCACCCCATTTCTGCATGATGCAAACACTTTTGTTTGACAGGACCAGCTGAGATACGTGTTGCATGCTCTCTCTGTGAGACTCCTCAGTCTCACCTGGACCTTTGTCATGGAAGTTATTACTCCAGATATAAGTGGCAGATTTGTCTCTACCCATGATTTCAGTAAAAATGTCCATCATGTAAACGTCGTCTTCTGAGTTCCCATCAATGACCATAACAACTTTAATTCCAGGGTAGGTCAATCTTTTCACAGAAAGTAAACATTTTCTTAAGTAGTCAGGATCCTCTTGATAGGCAGCAATACAAAGGGCAACTGTTTTGTTCAGCTTGATTGGAGTCTCTAGTGATCGTTTCATTTTCCTGTGCTCTAGGAAGGCAAACAGGCTTTGGATAATGAGATGTGATGCCAGGATAGCACCATATAGTCCAAAGGAGAAGTAGTAGTTGTCTGTTTGGATGAACTGGTAGCCCACAATGTAAGCAGCGGTGATTCCCAGCAGGAGGGACACCCCAAAGAGTGTGGTTCCAAGTATTCTCAGGATACATATAAACCTCTCACAATACATCTGCAAAAAACCACAGAAAACATTAATAGAGACACCACTTGCTGATGTAAGACCTCATAAGGGGTGCACATAACTACAACACTGAGCTAAGCACCAGCAGATACACCCTGTGCCTCTGGCTGTGTCATGGACTTACTGCATCACCTTACTCAAGTTAACATATCTTTGCAGTACTTTCTCTGTATAAAGTAAGATTCAGATACACTTAGTACACCAGAGATGTTTTCTGCTATTTGTAATGTCCTTACAGAAGGTGCTGTCTCTGTCAGTGTCTTATTTTGGCAGCATGGGCTTGCTGAATGAGACACTCTGTCATATTACCCTGTGGGGAAGAGGGGAGGGGGCTGGAGAAGGGGCTTTTGGGCCACCACTCACTTCATATGGTCATAGGCAAGTGGAACAGCTGAATGTCTGGGCAGCCCCTCCTCATCCCTCATCCATGTCATGACTGCATCCCACCCCGAATCACTTCTGTCGCTTAGTTATGTTTGCAGAAATATTGGAAAGACATTCTTAAAACAGATGTCTGAATGTATTTAGAATTTTTTAAACAGATGTCTTTGACTGTATTTATAAATTATATCTATATAATCATACATCTGCTTTAAAAGGACTTCTCAATACCATTGCAAAAATGTATTATCCATACATTTGTGTCCATAGATATACGCACATCTGAACATGTGTGTATAAGGGTAAAGCTTCACTGAGATTAAGTGTGAGGCAGAAGTACGCATTAATTTAACAGAGCCAAGACTCCACCCTGGACTCAGAAATTCATTAGATCATTTGATTCTGACCACTGCTGTGTATTTAGGTTACCTGGCTCTAAATTCTTCTAATCTAAGCTCTGGGCTATGAAAGAGCTGGCTGGCCTGGAGGATGCTCTGGTATTCTTGAGATAAACAATGCAGGCAGGCAGATAGACAAAATATATTGCTACCTAACTGCTTTCTGTTGACAATCACATTAACCATTTTATGCAACACCTTTCTCAGAACTACAGGAAAGTTAATGCCGATGTTTTGTGTCAGCTGACATGTTTGACGTTAAAGACAGAAAACAGATAATGTCTGTTTAAGGCTAACCCAGCAAGTGCATTGCAGGTCAGTGAGTCTGAAACTCATGCTTGAATATTTTGCTGAATTAGGGCCTCCCAGAGTAATGGACTTAACATTTGTGGTTTTTTACTATTATTCATATTTTCCCTGCTGCTATCATCTTGCTCGTCTGCTGATCATGTTTGTTTCACCATCTCTTGGCCAAAGCTGAAGTTGGAACAACGCTTCCTTTCATCGTGTATGTTTTTAACTCTTTCTTGAAAAAGTATTACCAAGTTGCAGCAGCATAGCTGTCCTTGATTTTGTTTCTGTCTGAAAAGTTCTAGGCTTGGAAAGAAAAAGTCAATACAGAATCACTTACAAAATAAAAATAAACCAGGCAAGCGTAAAGTCTGAGGTTACAAAGACCTTTTTTTTTTTCCACTGGCTAATTTAGGGTCTTAAATTTCAAGACAGGAGGAAGCCTCTCAAATATATATTTGGAGACACTATTAAAGAAATTGGACCCTATCTCTAAGACTTCCTCAAATACTTCTGGCTGGGCTCTGACAGGTGCTGTAATCACCCACCAGCAGAAGGGACCATCTTTGCTCTGGCCTGTCTGAAACTCTTTCACAACAGAGGTCATAAAGAAGCCTAAGAAAAGATAGGTTATGTTTACCACCAGTGTAGATGAATTAAAACTCAGTGCCCAAAATAGACTCATTTTAGAAAACATATTAAGTAATGGAGCCCCCTCTAGATTGCCTTGAAGTCAAATAGCCTGTGTGTTTATTAATTCCTCAAGCATGCAGAAGGTGACCGATATCAAGGTAAATGTTTAATTAAGGGCACAGTTGTACTCTGCTTTCCCATTTGGGGTCCACTACTTCTCTTACACAAATAGAAAAGTCCTGTTAGTGAGTAGGAGCTAAAATCTGCTTGTGTTAAGATTTATATGGCTGAAATAAATGGACTACTTGTGCGAGTGGAGCTCACAGGATTTAGACTAAGATCTGGAGCATTTACATTTGATTGACTGTATGCTGTACCAGTCTTCTTTTATATTAATTTGCTATTGCTTTTCTCTTCCTGTGAAGTGTTTCTGCACAAATGAAAAAAAAATAATTCTCTGATCTTGTCATTACAGCATAGCTTCCCTCCTCAAAAACTCAGCCTTTTAAGATCAAGAAATAGATTTCTGGTCTTAATAAAACAGCTTCTTTTTTTTTTTATCCTTTCGCTGTCAACCTTGGGAAAACAAACTGTGTTTTGATCTAAATTCCTGGTTTTCATCAAAGAAACTTTCCCCTTTGTGTGTGCAATTGAGGTTTTTATGTATAGTCTTTGAAACTGACTGAATCTTAGGGAAAGTCTGGAAAAAGTTGCTCAATATTCTCAAGCTTTAGCACGTGAGCTATTGATAGCTTGCCCAGCAGAACTGATCTTTATCAACTGGGACATGCCCAAACAATGGCAAAGAAGCCAAAAACTCTCCACCCTTCTGCAATAACTGAGCCAAGAAGTTAAAAGGAAATGATGCTTGTTCAAGTCTGGGACCAAAAGTGAACTGCTGAGTCAAATACTAGCACTGAGGGTAGGGAAGAGCTGTACGAGAGACTTTAAGGTCAGACAGCACTGTTAGGTGTAACTAACCTGGCCTAACACAGTGAAATGTAAAAGGACATCCTTAGTAAGACATCAGTTTAAATCCACTCCTGGAGTTTCCTGAACTTTTCGCATAAAGAATCAAGCCTTATTGGAGAGCCAGTGTACACAGTGCAAGACTGGAATAATGCCATGCTGAGTGAAAATGGAAGTGTCAAATGCTTGGTGAAGCAGGAGCACCCATGTTAACTTTTAAGGTCACAATTATTTTTCAGTCATTTCATTGCTAATCACTCTTTCGAAATGCAACATTCTTTCAGAAAAATGGTATTGCTTGTATTCAAGGTTGCCATCTCTACAACCCTATTCTACAGCTGACTAACTGGTAGAGGGTACCACACATGCCTCGTACAATCAGCACAGCTTAGTGTTTTGTTATATCACAGAGTCACAGAGTGTCAGGGGTTGGAAGGGCCCTCAAAAGATCATCTAGTCCAGCCCCCCTGCCAGAGCAGGATCACCTACAGTAGGTCACACAGGAACACGTCCAGACGGGTTTTGAATGTCTTGGAATAATGGATCTTCAGTTTCTTGAAGAATTAAACCCAGTAAGTTTGTCCTGGGAAATAGGCCCTGCAGCACTTAAAAAAAAAAGAAAAAAGAAAAAAAGGACTGCCTAGGCTAGGGATGAGGTGCTCAACACATCGAAGACACATGGCCAGTCTATATTGCTGGATCAATAAGGATGATTGCAGATCATTTCTGCCTATATATGGAACTGCTGCTACCTGGGAACAGGTGTTGGAGTGAGGAGAGGAATGGATCTCCTCACCTGGTGAGATGGTGGTTTATCTCACCGTCTCTGGGGTAAAACCTGGATCCTGCACTTTTGGGGCAGGTTTTTAACCAGTTCTGTAAAGCAGGAGGAGGAAGATAGTATCTGCAATGTTCTTTGTTTATCTTTAAGAGTGAAAGCTCTTTGGCACTGAAAGAAGTTGGCAGATCCATTGCTTTACATTTGCTCTGAGGGACATTTCTAGGGGACAATAAAATTTCACTGGCTGTGTCAGACTCTTTGGAGGTGTCAGTGTTCCCAATGTACTCCACAGAAAGCCTGAGACAGGACTCCTTATTCTACTCTGCACAGTGCTGAACCCAGTACAAACTTTACACAGCCTCCAGCAAACAGGCTTAAAGGTTTGTGAGCACAAGATGATTGTATATAGAGAGGCTTCGAAGTCTGCTGCTGAGAAATCTGGTGTCACGATCTAGCAGCTGCTTATTTCCGTGGATGGAGCTTGTCAGTGCTAACCAGCCCACCTAGCAGGAGTGAAATATGAAAGCCGTATGCCAAATGCTAACACTATGTAGGCTGTTGCTGATTCAGTGACACATTTTTATTCACCGTGCAGTCTCAAGTATCTTACATGCCTTGTAGTGACTCTACAGGAGGAGGTAATGTGTGCCTCTCTTTGGGGGCTCCTATGGAAAAGTGTGCACTGTAGTTATGGTACATATAGACCTAACTTTCATAAGATCTAGACTTTCATTAATTTCTTGACTGAAATTCAGCAGGTTCTGTTTCGGACTGGATCTTTACTCAGCAAAGAACATTGCTGACTTCCATGGTAAAGCACCATTTTTTCTCTCTTCAAAAACAAATAACACATTTCATCCATGTGATGAACAGCTTTCATGCAACTCTGAGAGTAGCAGGACCTGGAGATAGTTCATCTATTTGCAAAGTTAGGAGGCAAAGAGGGAAAAAAAGCTTGATGTGTTACTAATATATCAAGAGAGTAACAAACAGAATAGAGGCAAATATATATCCAGAAAACCTATATATGTTTCTGTCTGAACACATCAATGTTGTCTGCAGTCTATTCATTTATTCTGCACCAGCTGTTCTGTAGCTGCTATGAGGACTAAGAAAGCAACTGGATGGTCCCCAGTGTCTGCTGGTGCAGGACATGGAACCAGAGACTGACTGGAGGTCAAACTGGAGTTAGGTTTGCTTGCAACACATGGGCTGTAGCTCACCACATCATCTGTTTCAGAAGTCACCTCTCATGTACAATACTCAAGCATATTTCCATACAGTACTTCTGGCTCATTTTTCCTCAGGAGATTAAAAAGGAAAAGGGCAGATATAGAGGAAGATTTTACATAAAACATAACAAATTGGAAGGTTATTTGAAAGAATTAGTAATATTTGTCTGGGAGACAACAGTAAAGGTTCAGTCACAGGTGTTCTTATTTTGTCCCTTTCACCTCCAAAGTTTCAAAAGAGTTGTGCTTCTCTCTGAACATCTAGGGCAAACAGTCTAATATCACAGGAATAGATCTACAAAGAG